TCATCCATTAGATTGAATTGCATCAGCAGCATTCCCCAGATCTCTCCCACATTCATACCTGCCCCATGAACAGAGAGCCAGGAGCTGTAAATGGGGGCAGGGGCTATGGTGGGGCCATGGGGGCTGAGAAGGGGAAACAGGAGCTGTAGAGGGGGGCACAGGGGGACATAAAGGCTGTAGAAGAGGGCACAGTGGCTGTGGTGGGGCCATAGGGGCTGTAGAGGGAAGACACAGGGGCTGTAGAGGTAGTACACAGGGGATGTAGGGGGCACAGGGGCTATAGAGGGGGGGCACAGAGTATGTGGGGACACACAGGGGCTGTAGAGGGTGGGGAGATAGGGGCTATAGAGGTGGGACAGAGGGGCTGTAGATGGGGGCACAGTGGCTGTACCAGGGGCCAGAAGCTGGCTGAGACCACCTTATCCTTGGTCATCATGGACTATAGAGAGGCACAGGGGCTGTAGAAGGGGGCACAGGGGCTATAGAAGTGGGGCACAGGGATATAGAAAGGAGGCAGGGGTTTTGATGGGGGCACAGGAGCTAAGATATTGCAGAGGGGCTATAGAAGAGGGGGCAGGGGCTATATTACATGATATTCTGGAAAGTGCCTATTGCCATCAAGAATGGCTTGAGACTTAGGATGAACGATAAGGGTAACAAAGGGCATTCCTGCATTGTTCCATTCTTGATATGAAAGGGGCTGGACAGCACAGTATTAACATAGACTTGCGTTGTTGGCTTTGAGTAGAGATCTGCAATCCATCATATTATATAAAGGCCTAGTTCTATTTGCTATAGGACCATTAACAGAGAAGACCAATCTATCCTTTCGAACGCCTTTACCACTTCTGTTGAGATAAGGAGTTCCCTGTCTGGACGCAGCATAAATCAAATTGAGCACCATGGTCATATTGATGCGCACCTCTCTACTCTGGACAAATCACACCTGTTCTGGGGAAAACAGGTCAGGCAAGTGTGATTGCAAATGAAGTGCTAAGATTTCTGCAAACAGTTTGAGGTCAGCTCTCAACAGGGTGATTGGTCTGTAGTGGAGGGGTCCTTCTCCTCCTTAAAAAATACTACTATATTTGTTCTAAAAGTGTCATTGTTATTCGAGCTAATCTCTTGTATTGCATTGAACATGGGTAATAGATGCATTGTTAGAATGTCAAAAAAAGGTTTTGTAATACTTTATTGTGTAGTCATCAGGTCCAGGGCTTTTTCCAGCTTTTGATAATTTAAGGGCAACAACTAATTTAGTTTGCATGATTGGTTACTATAAATCAGAAACTGTCTCTTGGTTAAGTGTTTGGCTGATGTTTTGGGCAACATATGAGTGTAAATGGGTTCGGGAGGATAAGGGTCTTGTGTCCAAGTCTTGTCTTGTGAGGATAATGAGGTCTAATATTTGCAGAATCCCTCCGCTATGGCATGTGTTTTGCCTGCAGGTTGTATCTTACTAATGATCGTTTTTTTTTCTGTGCTTTATTAACTCTCTTGCCAACGGTTTCCCGCTTTTTTTTACTGTATTTGTATAGTGATTTCTGAGTTTAAACTAAATTGGATTTTAGAAGTAATCAGCGAAGTGAGTTTGGAGCAAAGAGAGAGGAGTTGTTTGCCAGACAATCTTTTTGCTGAGTTTCCAGCTGTAGGCTATCTGTAGGAGAAGGACTTTTATGTCCTGTGCCTGTTGTTTTGTGTTATGTGTCATGTTTAGGATTCCTATAATTAGGCACTTGTGTGCTTCTTAGATGTTGAGGGTAGAGTCAATGGTAGGTAGTGTTGGTCTGAAAGAATTCTTTCAGTTGATCATGCATGTCCAAGTGGATTGTTTAAGATTCATTCAGTCTCCAAAGCCATTAATTAGTGTAGGACTGAAGAGGCAATCTTAATTGTGACTGGGATAACAAGTTTTCTTTACCCTATATAAACATTGTAGGGTTAAGGGGACAGGGACACTATTCTCAGACCACTTCAATGAAAATAGTGTCACTTTAAGCTACAACAATTGGAGAATACATTTAACTCACAATCGTAGTTAAAGTAAAATAACGTTTTTGGATTTGTAAGTTGAAGATTTATAATTAAAAATCGAGATGTTGAAATCAAAACACTTTTCAAATCAGTCAGTGCAAATAGCTTTATTGATATCAAGAAGTCTTACTTCCCTTTGTGGTTGTGTGGTGTTTCTAAAAGTCAATTAATGTGGTAAAAAAAATTGTATGAAACCAAATGCTTTTAAAGAATAAGCAGTTAAGCTAAAGAACTATTGGAAAGAAAGAAAAGCTGCTGATAGGCACAAGTAATGTAAATAAATTGGATAGATATTCAGTTTTCAAATATAAAAACGGACAGACGACATGTGCTACACACATAGAGAACTCACAAAAAATATTACATATATGATACATGGTCCCTACCAAATTGACTAAGCTGTACCCAAACACAAACAGCCTATGTTGGAGATGTCAAACGACTGAGGGTTCAATGCTACATATATGGTGGACATGTCTGCAAGTAGTACCCCTATGGAAAGAAATAGCAGCAACGATCCTCACAACCATAAGATACAATTTGGAATGCAAAGTGGAAATAGTCTTGCTCAAATTATTCCCCACTTACCCACCCAAATACATTCTGAAACTTATTTCTATCTTACTCACCTCAACATTTACATTTATAGGTAAAAATTGGAAAACTCCAGTTGTGCCCTATTTTACCGAAGTTGCCTCACTGAGTTCTTGTACATTAGAATATGAATTGATTATGTGGAACCAAACAAAAACAGAGAAACTGAGCCGCTGTGCTTTGGAAAGCACACAGGCTATCCTGTAATAGCGTAGCCCAAGTTTGAGGGAAGAAAAAAAAAGAATTCCCACCAAATACTCCCTCCTCCACTACCACTGAACATCTTGCTCCAACTCACCAAGAGACGATATGGGTCGCACCCGCTGCGCATGCATCAGTTACTACCCTTACCCCTCCATCCCTTAATAGCGGAATGCAACCCGGTCAGAAATACTTTGGCCACTCACAATCACACTCACAATTAGTACCATTGAACCCACTTTAAATCACCTATTTCCCTCCTTACCTGTCCCTCTCCTGTTATACCCCCGTCCCACACTTCGAATAGTATGAACATTCAATGCCCCTCGATAGGAACCTAGATAAAGTTAACATGTGCCCAGTGCACCCTGAACAACATTAGATCTTAAAAGGTCCAATCCAAATTCCTGTCCTATCGTGTTTTACACCCCACCTCCTATAGAATGTAAGCTCGATTGAGCAGGGTCCTCTTCAACCTATTGTTCCTGTAAGTTTATTTGTAATTGTCCTATTTATAGTTACATCTCCTCTCATAATATTGTAAAGCACTACAGAATCTGTTGGCGCTATATAAATGGCAATAATAATAATAATAATAATAATAAATATGTTGATTTATTCAAACACTTGTGTTACTGATTGTTTATTTGCTTTCGCTTAACTCCAAAGTGAACGCAACAGTGATATGGGAATCACATTTTTTAAGACCCATAGAAGGACACATTAAGAAGAGGAGGAAAGGGAAAAAACAATATTCTTATCTTTTAACATATATATTTGACTACACTCTCCCTGTTCCACCCACCCCATTTATTAAACACAAAATCAGGTTTGAATGAGAGCTGAAACAGTACGAACCCTATAGAATCGACAGATCATGAATACAGTACTAACAGAAAAAGAAGGGTACTTTGTTCATGTCTGTATCCATATTCACCATATGCTCATGTTCCTTTTGAATGTGATGTATAATAAATATGTATGCCTTATTACCTGAGAACTAATAAAAATTGTCAAATTGAAAAAAAAAATTAAAAAAAATATATATTTATGAAATAGTAAGTCTCTTAAGAATAAAGTGAAATCTATTTTAGATTACAATATCAATAGCAAAATGATTCCAAAATAATCCGAAAGCACATGTCAAAAAGGAAATGTAATTAGGAGTTACATACCATTGGGTAAAAAAAAGACTAAAATTAAAATATAATAAGTGAGTTGGATTTGACAAAGAGGGACACATTATTTTTAGGTGTGAGTGGGGTGTGATCAAGGGTGGCGATGTTTTAAAATTGTTTAATGACTTAGTAATTGCAATTTATTTACACAGACTGATTTCTAAATACATTTATTTTAGTTTAAAAATGTATAATTGTGAGGTATTATACCCTCAGACACACAAATAATATGGAGCTTCGAGAAAAGAGGGACATTAGGATAGAAAAGAGGCACAGAAACATCTGTGCCCTAAATAGGGACACTCTGGAGGTATGCCCTAAATATTTATACTTATATGGAATGTCCAGTTTTTTACTAACTGCAGCTCAATATAGCCCTGCCCTTGTTAAACAAGCTGCACATCTTTCAAAGCTAGTTTGTTATAATGGAATTGTTACGTATTTGGTCTTTGTTGGAGTTAAACCATTAAAGGAACCCAATAGTGTTAAAATATACAAACATGTAGTCCTAACGTTATAGTATCCTAGCGCCTAGTTAGATTATTTCCCCCCCCCAACTGAAGTAAACCAATTTACTTACTTACTTCATCGCCATCCTATAACTTAATGGCCATCCTGCCGCTCCACCTCCTTGTCTGAGATCATCAATCTGATTGATCTCAACCAATACAAAATGCTTCCATAAGGAAGCATTGAGAGGCTATTGTGTATGAGCTACAAAACTCTGGACCAATCAAATTCTCACTAGGAGCAGCAGTCGATTGCGAACCAAGTCTGACTCGGTTCTCACAGGGGAAGCGCCTCTAGTGGTTGCCGCTAGAGATTTATTAATCCTGCAAACATAATATTGCTGTGTCTACTAATGGGCAATATTTTACATTGCAGAGTTAAAACTAAAGGGTCACTACTAGTGATGTCCCGAACTGTTCGCTAACGGTTCACGAACGGTTCGCCACGGTTCGCCGCGAACGGTTCTCCGCGGACTCCAGTCAGCAGACATATTCCTGCCAATCAGCAGCAGACCCTCCCTCCCAGACCCTCCCACCTCCTCACCAAGCTCAGCTCACTAAGAATGCAGCTTCAAAATGGATGCTGTCCAGGAAGTGGGAGGGTCTGGGAGGGAGGGTCTGCTGCTGATTGGCTGGAATGTGTCTGCTGAGTGGAGTTCGCGGTGAACCGTTCGTGGCGAACCGTTCGCGGCGAACCGTTCGTGGCGAACCGCGGCAAACCGTTCGCGAACAGTTCGGGACATCACTAGTCACTACACCTACACCACAGCATTGAGATGAAGTGTTCTGGGTACCTTTAGTCTTTCTTTAAAGTGGTTTCACAGACTGACTATACAAAGATCAGTTACTTTACTGAAGGATAGATTGAATGTTTTGATCACTTTCCTCCAAAACCAGGCCATTTGGTTTGGTATTGTACCTTGCAGTTTATTGCTCTATTTGACTCATACATGTATGTTATTTCTAGATAAGTGTCTGTTTCTTGCATTCGTCAGTGATTAATGTTCCTCAGACCCTGTGTTCTAGGTTAACTGTTCTTTGAACTTTACCGCCTTCTTAGAATGTCAGACTTCCTTAGCTATTCCATAAATTGCTGCTACTGTGTAACTGTCCTTTGCTGATAAACTCTGACTTTCACATACCATGGCTTCAAAGCCAAATGATGTAACTTGTACATGTGGATGATAAGGTAGAATGCCTATCTGGCATACAGTAATTCTGCTCTAGTGTTGAGTCCAGCTAGAGTGAATAGGATACACCATTATCAAAGTCTTGCTCCAGGGCTCAACCGTGTTTATCGTTTCTGTGTATACTGTTTCTTTAAATAGTTACTCTCATTTCCTATTGGTATACAAATCTGTGTTTCTAATACCTACAGAACTTGGGTATTCCCTGCCTCCTAATAAAAGCATAGACACTGCAACTGTTATATTGCAATCCAATTGGTTTTCCTATATATTTGATTTCTACAGAGCCCTTCCCTGTGGCTGTATCAGTAGGCAAATATGAATGCCAGGTCGTTTTGGAGAAAGTGGTTTAGAACTTTCACTAAAAATCTGATGACCTTTGGTTGCTGCAGTGGCGGATCCAGAGCCTGATCCCGGAAGGGGCACTTGTAGATTATTTAAAGAAATAATCCATGCACAAAAAACCACTACAGCTCTGTGTAGTGGTTATGGTGCCAGGAGTGCTGGGACCCCCTTCCAGAGTAAGTAGTCAAACCGTTTAAGAACAGTTTGACAATTTACCTGGGGTCTGCTGGATATGGGGCTGTAGTAGGGCATAGGAGCAGTGGTGTGTGTGAGGGGTGCAGTGTTTATGAAAGGTTTAGTTTGTAAATGTGTCGGGTGTGTGGGGCAATGTGTGAATGTGTGTGTGTGAATGTGTGTGGGGGGGCAGTGTGTGTATGAGGGGCAGTGTGTGTGGGGGGGCAATGTGTGTATGGGGGTTGTGTGTGTCTGAGGGGCAGTGTGTAAATAGGTGGGCAGTGTATGTGTGTGTGAGGCAGTGTGCGTACTGGTGGGCAGTGTGTGAATATGTATGGTGTGTGTGGGGGCAGTGTGTGTATGGGGCCAGTGAATGATTGTGTTGGGCAATGTGTGTGTGTGGGGGCAGTGTGTGTATGGGGGCAGTGTATGAGTGTGTTGGGCAATGTGTGTATGAGGGGCAGTGTGTGATTGTGTATGTGTGTGGGGGCAAGTGTAAGTGTGGGGGCAGTGTGTGTATGGGGGGCCGTGTATGTGTGTGTGTGGGGGCAGTGTGTGTATGAGGGGCAATGTGTGTGTGTGTGTGTGTGTGGTGCAGTGAATGTGTGGGGCAAAGTGTGTATGGGCAGTGTATGTTAGGGCAGTGTGTGTGTGTGTGGGGGGGGGCAGGTGTGTTTGTGCATGCGGGGCAATGTGTGTATGAGGAGTGTATGTATGTGGGGGGGCAAATGTGTGCACGGGGCTGTGTGGGGGCAATGTGTGTGTATGGGTGGGCAGGTGCGAATGTTTATAGTGTGTATGGGGGCAGTGTGTGTGTGTGGGGGTGTGGGATGGGGGGCAGGTGTGTGGGGCATTGTGTGTGGGGGGGCTGTATGTGTGTGTGGGGCAGTGTGTGGGGTGTATGTGTGGCAGTGTGTGTGTGGGGTGTGGGTGTGTGTGGGGCAGTGTGTGTATGGGTGTGTATGTGTGGGGCATGGGGGCAATGTGTGTGGGGGCAATGTGTGTATGGGTTGCAGTGTATGTGTGTGGGGGGCAATGTGTGTATGGGGGGCTGTGTGTGTGTGGCAATGTGTGTATGGATGGGCAGTGTGTGAATGTTTATGGTGTGTGTGTTGGCAGTGTGTGTATGGGGGCAGTGTATGTATGGGGGCAATGTGTGTGTGGGGCAGTGTATGAGTGTGTGGGGGCAATGTGTGTGTGTGGGGCAGTATATGTGCCTGTGGGGGGTAGTGTGTGTACGTGTGTGGGGCAGTGTATGTGTGTGTGTGGGGCAGTGTATGTGTGTGGGGGGCAGTGTGTGTATGGGGGGCAATGTCTGTAGGGAGGGCAGTGTGTGAATGTGTGGTGAGGATTTTTTATATCTATATATATATATATTTTTTTTAAATAAATGTATATCCCCCCCCTTCCTTCTTACCTTTACTGAGGAAGGGGGGGGACATTTATTGATCTCTGGTGGTCCGTGAGGGAATCTCTGGTGTTGGCAGTGGTGAGAGTGAAAATCTTATTGACCTAAAACACTAAAACAGTCCTACCTCCCAAGCGTCATGTATCTGATGGAGATGGTGCTGGAGGGAATCTCATGGGATGCAGCTATGAGAAAACACATACCCTATGCTAATCTTACACTTTCATCTTTCAAGTAAATACATACCCATTAACAGCCGTGTCCAGTAAAGCATGAAGTCTATGGATGGAGTAAAAGGGTGGGCCACTGACGCAAATCACATAACAAGAACTGCCGAAAGGGGCGAACATACCCAAAAAGGGAAAGTATGCCTGTGTCCCCATGTCTCCCAGTCCCTTAGTGTCTGTGTCCCTATGTCTCCCAGTGTCCCCATTTCACTAGTACACTAAGACATTGAGAGACATTGTGAGACATGGGGACACTGAGACACTTGGGGACACAGAGACATGGGGACACTGGGTGACTTTGAGACACGAGGGGACACTGGGAGACATGGGGCATTGAGACACTGTGATACAAAGGGGACACTGTGATATATAGCATACACTGGAGACTTGATAAAGACCTGGGTACAGGTCAAATTGTTGCGGTGTCCAATAAACCTGCTTAAATCTATCACAGTGAGTATACCTTTTATACTAAGGTAAACTGAGACACTGGGGGGAACTGTGAGACATGGGGACGCTGGGAGAATAGGGGACCCTGGGAGACTAGGGGACACTGAGACACTGTGATACATAGGGGACACTGTGATACATAGGGGACACTGAAGACTTGAAAAAGACCTAGGTACAGGTTGAAATGTTGCGGTGTCCAATAAACCTGTTTAAATCTATCAGAGTGAGTACACTGGGAGACATGGCGACACTGAGATGCTAGGAACACTGACTGGGAGTCATGGGGACACTGGGAGTGCCCCATGTCTCTCAGGTCTCAAAGTGCCCCATGTCTCCCTGTGTCCCACAGTTTCCCCATGTCTCTCAGTGCCCCCTAGTGTCTGTGTCCCCATGTCAGCCAGTGTCCCCTAGTGTTTGTGTCATCATATCTCCCAGTGTCCCTTAGAGTCTGTGTCCCCATGTCTCCCAGTGTCCCTATGTCACTAGGGGACACTGAGACATGGGGACACTGGGAGAGACATAGGGACACTGAGATATCTGGGGACACTGAGAGACTAGGGGACTCTGGGAGACTAGGGACACAGACATTGGGGACACTGAGAGACATACGGGACACTGGGAGACATGGGGACACAGACACCAGGGAAACTAAGGACACTGGATGGGAGACATGGGGACACTGAGAGACTAGGGGTCACTGGGAGACATGGGTGTCCCTAGTGTCTCAGGGTCCCCATGTTCCCCAGTGTCTCAGTGTCCCCAAGTCTCACAGTTTCCCCTAGTGTCTCAGTGTCCCCAGGTCTCCAGGTGCCCCCTAGTGTCTCAGTGTCACCAAGTTTCTCACCATCCCCATCTCTCTGTGTCTGTGTCCCCAGGTCTCCCGGTGAGAGACACTCCCTAGTGTCTCAGTGTCCCCCAGTGTCTGTATCCCCATGTCTCCATGAAACCTTTCCCCCATCCCTCACTTACCTGATATGTTGGCTGTCTCTTCAGGCTGGGAGCTGCTGTCTGGACTCTCTGGGCAGAGCTTCTCCCCCGTGGATCAGTGAGTAGAAAAAGGCAGGGAGGGAGATGCTGTAACTTCCTATCCCTGCCTCTCTCCACACACACACACAGCGCCACCTACTGGGCGGTGCCAGTATTGCATCTAATCTCAGTTTATACTGAGACTGACATTTGAATTGCAGGTATTACTGCAATACCGGCACCAGCTAGGTAGCCTCAAATACCTGATAAATACTTCTGAGAAATACCTGGCAACCCTAAGAAATACCTGAGAAATACCAGGCAACGCTAAGAGTAGTGTGTAAAAAAAATAAAAATATATTAAAAAATTTTTTTTTTTAAATCAATGGGTCTATTCCATGGGCTTGGAGCTGCAGCTCCATCAGCCCTATGTTAATCCGGCCCTGGCCCTGGTAACCACAGCAATGCTCCGTGCTCGCAAGAGTAGGACCCGGAGGAGCTGCAGGCTGAGCTCCCAGGTCCTCTCTCCCTCCCCTGCCGGCTGCCCACATGGTACCTGCGGACTGGGGCATCCCCATGTCTCACAGTGCCCCCCAGTGTCATCTCCCCTCTGGTCCGTGAAGGCACATTGCAGGGCTGGCGCTTGAAGAGCCAGCAGGGGAGAGCCTCGGGTGGGGGGGGGGGAGGGGGCAATTGCCCTGTTGCCCACTCTCCCCCTGGATCCGCCAGTGGGTTGATGGTCAAACTGGTTATCCCTAGTTTGTTTTTCTCTCTTCCTACTTGATAATTATCTCCATGTGGACTAGTTGCTATTCCCTCCTCTGCTGTCCTGAGTATTTATATATCCTTTACTCTGCTACCCAGTTTATATAAGACCTTCTAATTGTCAT